AGGTAATGTTGGCTTCATAAAATGAGTTAGGCAGTTTCCTCCTGTTCCGTTTTCTGGAGGACTTTGAGAGAAGTATCATGTTGGCTAGAACACACCAGGTCATCTGGACCTGGACTTCAATCTCGTTAGCAGTCTTTTCAGGCTTTCTAATTTTTAATGATTCAATCTTGAACAGGTACAGGATTCTAAGAATTTATCCACTTTCCCCTCCAAAGATACCAGATGTTTTAAAATACCTGTTCATAGTAGTCTCTTACGATACTTTGTATTTCTGTAGCATTTTTCCCCCTTAATGGGTCATTTGTACACCCGAGTCTATTTCTGAAATTCTTCTGCCGGTTTAATTCTATTTAAAATGCCACCATTTTAAAGTGTCTCATTTCATGATGTTTCTTTAAATATTTTCAGTATATTGGGTAAAGAACTCTTTGTTCCTAGATTTCCTTTCTAAGATTTTTTCACCTGTCTGCCTTTGAATGACCTTCCAGTACCTTATTTAGCATTGCTAACATGGTTTTAATGTCTTTATTAGATCCTCTATTTCTGTATCCTTTATATTTGTCCCCAAATTTCTGTTAATCTCATTTTGCTTTTCATTCCTGTGTTCAGAACTTCTTTGGATCTTGGGCATGAGTTATGTGTTGTCTTGTTCGTAGATGTGTGTGTGGTTGGGCACTAGGGTGTAGTTGTTTAGTTTTGTTTCTTAGTTTACCCTGGTGAGAGGGTGCAGGGAGTGAGTCTGAGGCTTAAACATATCTCAGTTTGAAGAGTTGTGGGTAGAGTCCAGTTTCCTCTTTTTGTTTTGTGTCTGCTCTGGATCTGTGTTTCTGGTGTCTGGATTTGCATAAAACCTCTTCTAGTTAATGTCCTTTTCTGCTGGTAGCATCTAAGCTTCATTTGCCTGTGCAGGTTCTACCCTTTTCCACTTTTGTTGTCAAAAGTAACCCCCCTTTTTTTTTTGTGGGACCCTCCCTGGTGGCCAGGGATCGAACTGGCGCTGCAGAGGCTGCGGGCAGCCTCGCAACCCAGCGCTCAACTGCTGTGCCACCAGGGGAGGCCCAAAAGTAACCCCTTTTTATATTGAGGTCATTAGCAAATTGAAGTGTAACTATAGTTATTTTAAATGCCCCCCTCCTTATAACCTGTATGCCATGATTGGGTGTTTAACACCTTATTATGAAATAGAATTGAAATGATCTGATTCTGTTTACCATATTACTCATCATTTTTGTGCACTTTTGCCTTTTCTTCCAGATAAAATAACTGTTTGCAATATTTCTTGTAAGATGAGTCTAGTGTGAGCTCCCTCAGATTTTGTCAGGGAAAGCCATCATAAATGAAAAATCTGTAAGTTACTTTTTTTGTCCCCTTAGGCTGCCTTTACCATTGACTTTGGACATTTTTAATATAACATGTCTCAGAGAAGGCTTGTTTCCATTGAGATAAATAGGTGTTCTGATAGCTTGGTGCATTGTGTATATCATGTTCATTCCCCATGTTTATGAATTTCTAAGCTATTATTTCTTTAAATGGGGTCTCAGTTGCTTTTCCCTCTCTTCTACTTCTGCAGTATCCATTTTCATTATACATGACTGTTAGGAAAAACAGCATTTCTCCTAGTTTCTTCATTTAAAAAATATTTTCTTTATTCTACCTGAATCATTTAAGATTCCAGTCTTTGATCTAATTCTATCTTCCATACAGTCTGTTCTACCTCCAGTGCTTTCTATATCACTTTACTGAGTCCTTCAATTCCAGAATTTGTTTGGCTTTTTTTAAAAAAGGCTTTTAATCTCTTTGGTAAAGTATTCAATCTATTCATTCATTCCTGAGTTCAGAGAACCTTGTTTTCTTATAGCTCACGGAGTTTCTAGACACCTATCCAGCTATTTTGAATTCTCTTAACAGATCGTAATCATCAGTGACTTTGATTTTTGAAATATTGTTTTGATTAATAATTTGGAAGTAGCAAATGCCTTTCTTATTTCAGTACAGCTTTGTTTATATTTGATCCTAATAATTCAGCTGGTTGGTAACTAGAGGACTTTTGTGTTCTATAGCACCACCTACTAGAAAACATTCTTTATATCTCTTAACTGAATCCTGTCTAGCTTTGAGAATTGGCAGCTTGCCCCCCACGCACACCTCCCCCCCCTTGCTTTCTCTGCTGGGGGTGTGGGTGAGGTGTTATCACTACTTATGTTTTTAAGGCCTCTGCCGTTGTCACTGCAGTTTGGGTAACATCACCCAGTTCATTGAGGTGGTGGACACTGTGGTAGGTAGAGGGGTCTTGGGAACAGCCAGAGTAACAGACCTTGTATCTGGGGCATTCAACTCCCCTGCGGGCATCACTGCAGCCAGTGAACCTGAATCATGTACACTACTTTCACTGTTGCTTGATTTCTAATGGTCAGAGTTGTGTGCCGCCCCGCCCCCCTAATCCAGGGTGAGCCAGCATCAGGGTCACTACTGCTGTCACTACTAATAAGTTGGATACTCTGGTTTCTCTTCAGATGGCATAAATCTTTCGCCTTTTACTACTAATAAGTTGGCTGGAAATGTGGGCGGTGCTATAACAGGGAACTAGAGTTACGGGTGCTGCCTTTATTGTGTAGTTTTCTGCCTTCTGTGTATATTTCAATTCACTATTGAAATGTTTGGTACTCATGAGATTATAATTATAAGCGGTTTTCTTCCAAATATTAAGACTTGTGGATATAATTAAAATTCTGTGCACTTTCCCAAAGTATATTACACCAAATACTAGCTAAATGCTCTGCAAAAGTGACCTTTGGTTAAAGGAAAGGGGAAAAAAAATAGCATCATCACTTTCGCGATTTAATACGAAGGGTCTGAAAGGACCTGAGAGGTCCTACCGAAAGAATATTTGCTTTGTTTACTTCTGCATTTCTCGTACATGCAGACCACATCCCAAGGAAAGTTTCCCATGGGATATAATTTGGAAAGCAAGTTTCAATTAATTTCATAAATATGAACGTAGCCTTATAAAAATGACATTCAAGTAGTTGTTCAATATCAATTTTACTAATGTATCTACTTGCACATATATTTTTTCTATTATAGCAGTTCTTATTTTATGCAGTCCTTTTATTCTATAGTTTTAGCTGATACTCAATATTTTCTGTTGCTATTGCTGCTGATTCTTTCTTTAAATTTGAATGGGAACCCCTTGTAAAAAGTGGTTGAGCTTTCCCTTGCTGACCTGTAACAACCCATTAAGTCTAATTATGTTAAAAAACAGCAAGCTATTCCTGCCGCCCGCTGCTCCCCTCAGCAGTGTACTTCGGTCCTTCTGCCTGTTCTGCTCCCTGCTCTGGCTCTGGTGAATTCTGTCACCCTCCCGCGCTTCTGACTGTACCCAGTGTTTGTTTGAATAAATAAGCACATCTTTAAAAAAAAAAAAATAAAACAGCAAGCTATGTCACTTGAATTCTTGGACTTCCTGAAAGGTGATTTTGAGTGGATATATGACTGCATTAGGTTAACCTAAACATAGGAATTCATAGACCAAAGGTCCTTAAGCCTGGCATTATAGCAGTAAGAAATCTCTTTGGGCTTTGAGTCAAAAATACCAGGCTGCAGGGATGAATGATTAAAAATGTTTTACTTAGTCATTAATTTAGGATGTTCTTGACCACACTGATAAAAGATTTAAGTTTCCTTCAATGATTCACTGAAAAGACATCCTTATTATTCATCATTTCATACCAATTGTGATAAGTCACAATTATCACTGTAAATGTAATTTGATGTGACTGACTTGTGTGTGGAAAATAGAGGCAGATCAATAGGCCAAGGGCATTATGAGATTTTAAGCAGCCTAATACATTAACTTATTTAGAACTTCAGATGCACATACTCAGTCTGAGAATCCAGTATCACAAAAATAAGAGCTAAAAAAGGTTTCATTCATGGTGCTCACCAAGTCATCTATATTAACTGCTCTGTATAAAGGGAAATTTAAAAATTATAAGGTAATAACATTTTCTGCTAGTCTTTCTAGACTAGTTTTAAATCTGTAAGAATCTTTCATAAAATTGTTTCCTTAATTTTATTTTTTAAAGATTTATTTTATGCATACAAGAACTGGGGTATAGGCCACAAGTGTGGGGGGTAAGAGGATTTACCAGAGACTGAACAGGCAGACTGACTGAAATACACTGCACAGGGGAGTTTTATTTTGAATTGAAGCCACAACGTTTTCACAGGAAGTGCAGAAACTATTGTAAGACACCATTTTGAGATTTGCTACTACTTGGAAATAGAAAATTTTTCTTATGAGAATGATCTAAGAAAAAAGTGGAATTCCTATAAGCTTATTTGCAATTTTTATAGTTAGAAAGCAAGTATATAAGCTGATATATTTCCCCTGCTCATTATAAGACTTGCTTTAGTTTTCACGTTCCTTGTCCATTTTAACTGTCCTTCTATAGGATTATGATCCTTATAGTTTTTTAAAAAGCACTATTACATAGATATAATGAAATCATCTAAATGGTTTGTTTCTAACATTATTTTGAACTGTATCTTGCCTCTTGTCCAAAAATCTGTTAATCATGTCATAATTTGATATATACTCCAAACTAATTTCCTAGAATTTTAAAGGACTAAGTTAATTGTAGACTAGGAAAAGAATCTAAGCATAAACCAAGAATCATATTGTACAAATCTAAGGTATCTTTTTTTTGTTATTCACTTGAATAAGTATAAAGTACTTACTTATACTACACATAAGAGTTCTGCTATAAAAGCTTTATGAAGGACCAATTTCCGTGCCACAGGTAGAGAAATAATATTTTATTAGCTTCTCTGTTGACCTCTGGTAATGAAAACAAGAGGTGCAAGTTCACATAAAGGTGGAAAGGTCAAATTCATTTAGCAAATATAGTATTTCATTAAACGGAAGGCCCTGTTATTTTTCAAGTTAGTGTTGTATACTGTAACTCTGCATTAATTCACTTACACTGTTCTGTTGCCAGGAAACATATGGGTAATGTTCTGCTGTCCGGGAAAGACCCTGAGGTCATATATCTATATCCAAATGTGGCATATACTTGTGTCAACAGTTCACCTATGCCAGAACAAAGTAACCACAGTGTGTCCAGTTTTGCCAACTCCCTAGTCATAATGACTTAAGCGTGAGTATTGTTCAGCAAAAGTTGCATTTCTATAAATAAGAACAATCTGCCATAAATTGTTTCCACTAGAGTGTATACTTGGATCTGTAGTTTTTTTTTTTAATCTGAAGCTAAGCACAGGTTTTCCACTACTCACAAATGCTAGAAACACAGGCTGATACAAATGCAGTGAACACACTTTGAGGCATAAGCAGTATTCTTAGTAAGCTTCCATTTTGACAATATTATCTTGGTCCTATAGAGGTCAATGACTTTAGAACCTGAGTTCCCTCCCGCCCCCGACTTATCCTCTGTTATCAGGAGAAGAGCAGAATTTCAGAGCTAGACTTTATGGATAGTCCACTGAATAGTCTTGACTAAATAGCCAATGTAAACCTATATTTAAAGCATTATTTAATTTTAACTCCACTTTGATTATTAGAAGTATTGGAGTGAGTGAAACTGAGATTAATGACCTCAAGAAACACAGAAATCCACCCCCAGTTGCACACATCTTGTTGCTGTTCCTGTTCCAGGGACCCAGCTGGTAAGAATAAATCGTCTATATATTTCCCCGTCCATGAATACATTACCAAAAATTTAATCACAATTTTTTTGCTGTAATTATTTTGGGATGTCTTTATTTTTAACATGGAAATGATATTTTAGGCATAAAAAATCAGGGGTGAGTTCAGTAAGGTCCACATGAAGACACTGGCTTTAATTTGTGAGGAGTGCTGTTTGTTTTGCTGAGACTTCATTCATAAATGAATCAAGATAAAACAAGTTTAAGGAAAAGAGTAGACTTCTAGCCATACAAAGAAAAATTAAAAGCCTAAACATACTGGCTCTCCTAAATAAGCAAAATGGCCAATAAACACAGGTTAAGTGTCATGGAATACTTATGAATATTCATTGGAGGTATCCATTTCTTTCTTTACTCACAAAGACTATGTTCTAGCTAAGTAGCAATATACCACCACCAAAAAAGCCAAGTTAAAGTAATTTAAATATATTTCAAAATGGCACAACATAAAAATGAAAAAAAAAAAATGAAATTTAACACTCAGGGTTCAGGGCAATCCACCCCAAAATGTTTCAAAGTGGAACACATACTTGTGTCAACAGTATTTAATTCTAATTTAAAATTGCTTCATAGACGGCTGAAGCTGGACTTTCTGTGACCTTATACATCACACTCGAAGTAGGAAATAAATTTCCTGTGTGATAGGCACCGTCCCTGTACCAGGAGGGAAGGACACATTTTTATCACCAGGCAAGGATTTTTGGATATGATTGAATTATGAAAATAAACTTTTCAGCCTTTTAGTAAATTAGAGTATAAACCAGTATGTCAAGAGTTGTCTAAAAAGTATATAAATGTTACTCTGTTCATTTGCCCACATCCCTATATTCATGTTTTTTCTCTTGTTACTGTCTTGTGTCAAGTTAATTATTTTCCAGCTGTTAAGGGCCACAGTTTGGTGTGGTGGGTATGATACCCCACCAACTGGGTAACACTTGCTCCTCGAATACTTCTGCAGCTAAGAAATCTCAGTGGAACTGCTGACAAAGGCCGCCTACAGGTGAGTGTTGTCCTGATAGCATTCCAGTGGAAGAAGAATGAGAATTTCCTTTTCTGCAAGAGGAAAAATTAGGTTGAAAGAGTTCCTTGGGTTTAGTGATTCTGGCTCTTTGGTTTGATTACTCATGTGTATCCTGTCTTTCCCTTAGTTTCAAGAACTAGGGATTAAAAAAAAAAATGGTTCAGGGCCTCCCCTGGTGGCGCAGCGGTTGAGCGCTGGGTTGCAAAGCTGCCTGCAGCCTCTGCAGCACCAGTTCGATTCCCGGCCGCCACCGGCGAGGGTCCCACAGGGCACCAGACCTCTGCTGCTGCCCACCGCTCCCTTCAGCAGTGTTTCGTCAGTCTGCCTGTTCTGTTCCCTGCTCTGGTGAATCCTCTGTCCCTCCCATCTGGTCTGTATCCCGGTTCTTGTATAAATAAATAAATCTTTAAAAAAAAAAAATCTTGAAAAAAAAAATGGTTGAAAGGGTAGGAAGACTGTCACTCTTTGTACTTTGAAATAGCTCTTTAGGACAAGGCCCCTCATAATTGTGATCTTTTCTTTCTTACGCAGATTCTGGGAGTGAAATCCTTTAACTTTGGCCACCCTTACTAATTGAGTCATTATTTGAATTCTTCTAGCCTGACTGCAAATTATCAGTAAGTGGTTTAGCTGGAATCTGATAGTCAAGTATTGATAAAAGAAAAACTGCAGCTGTCCCACTAAGGCAAATTACTTTGCAGTTGCATTATATACTCAGAAGGAAGGACAATTATAAAAGGAAAATTACCCAGAAACTCCTAGGAGGGAAGGAACACATTATTTCTCAAGAGTTGTAAATTTTATTATGTCTTTCAAAAGTAAACAGAGCTACTCACCAAGACTAAATTAGAGGAAAAGAATCCCTTTAAAAACTGTCAACAGCTACACTCACTCACTTTGCCCAAAAATTTTTCCTTCCATAAAGTTTGCTTACTAAAGACAAAAGGTAAGAAAAGTCTTCTCTGCAAATATTAATGAAAGGCTTCAGTCATCTAAACAGAACACCCTAAACAAAATTTGAATCTGTGAATTATAAATATCTGATTGGTGGCTAAAAGTTTAAGGTCTGTGAGGCTACAGGAATTTAGCAGCAAGCTGTAGCCCCTCCCTTTCTCTATCAGTAACTCTTTAAAAAAAAAAGCATATTCCAAAGCAAAGTGCCTCAAACCCTATCAGTTCAAGACTGGCACCACTAGTTGTAAAACTCTCTCACTTCACCAACAGGATGTTAAGCCTCAGTGATTTTGGTGAGCAAACTGAACATAACCCGTTTACATTCATGTCCGTGAGCCCCTTATAGCAGCAGCCTTGAGATCCGAGGCAAGATTCTCCTCTGAACATGGCTGTGCTCACTCGAGTGCCTCCTGTCATCTACAGTAAAGCTTCATTTCTAACTCACCTACAATGATTTCAGCACAAACGCTTTCCTGCACAGGTCAAGGATCCCCCTCGTACCTCAGCACCCCGGGGCCCTATCATTGTGGCAAGCTGGTCAGGAGAACGTCTGTAAGGTAAGTTGCTCTCCCTGTGTGCTCTGCCTCCTGCCACTTCTGACCTCCAGCCTTTCTACCCCTTGCCTGCCTCAAGCTTGCCTGTGCAGGGCATGCACTTCCCAGGTACCTACATGGCCGCACGGCCTTCAGGTCTCTGCTGAAGCGGCACCTTATTGCCAGGACTTCTCTAACTTCATCAGCTCAGCATCCCTGCTGCTCCTCAGTCCCTTACCCTGCTGCAGGTTTGTTTGTTTTCCTTGCGTCATTTATTTTTATACAGTATCTTGTTTTCTCCCCTCAGCTGTAGTCTTCCATCACCCCAGTTCCTTGTGCTTTTCAGTCTACTACAGATCAAAGGTTGGCTTGCAAGTTTTGTCTTTTGCTTGACCTTTCATTTGGTTTTTACTCTAGTCCACAAGTAAGTGAAACCATCTGGTCCTACTGCAGTTTTCATTTCCCCCTGGGCTGTGGGCACTTACTGGCCTACCTCTGCTTAGTCTCTCCCTGCAGTAGACTGTAAGCTCCTTGTCAATAAGACCTTTGTTTGACTCCCTGCTACCTCTTGAGCCGTGGGACAGTATCTCTAGTATAGTGCCTGGCACTGGATTTGTGCTGAAAACACATTTGTTGAATGAATGAGTCAAAGCACATCTCCTCGTGGTTCCTCTTGGTCTTCTGTTACTATTGACCAGCCTGCCCATCTCAAAAGATTCCTTAGAATCTCATGGAAGAGCATATTTACATACAGGACAGGGTGTGCCTAGGGTGGGGGGAGGACAGGAGACACAATAAATGGAGATCAGATACAGGTAAGAACTGGAAAACCATAGAAGCACGTGAAGAAAGTGAGGTGAAAGCAGAGGTTGGACACTGGTGACTGGATGGTGAAGGTGAGTCCTCCGTCTTTCCTTCTCCCTCGCCCTTCCTTGAGGAAGAGTGCAAAAGAGAGAGAGAGAGAATGAGAGATAGAAAAAGAGAAAGATTTAGAAAGGAAAGGAAGAGCGCAATAGCAGATATGAGGGGGGGAGATCCAGAGGGAGGGAGCAGGAGAGAGATGGATAGAGCGAGAAAAAGAAAGGCAGCAATAGAGACAGATGGAGAGAGAGCACAGAAAATAGAGAGTGGTAAGTTGAGGGGGAGAGAAATAGAGATGAAGAGAGGGCGCATGAGTGGTAAATATATACATAGGGAGAAAGGGAGGGAGCGAGAAGGAATGGAAAAGCTGGTAGACAGCTGATGACCATAACGTAGACAAAGGCTAACAGTGAGAGCAATATAGCGACAGAGATGGGGAGAAAATGAGAGATGGAGAGAGAAAGACAGACAGTGATAGAGAGGGAAAGACACACGGGGGGAGAGAAAGCTCGAGATGGTTGAGAGGGGGAGACGTAGAGGAAAAATGAGACAGTGGGAAAGGGGGGCAGAGAATGAGAGCTACAAAGAGCGAGAGGGAGAGCTCTAAAGAAGAATGGAGAGAGAATGACAGAGAAAAGGTACCAAGACAGACAGATACAACTGCATGAAAGAAACGACGTGTATGAAAAAATGCAACTGCACCTTATAAAATAGAAAGTACAGCTCCGCGAAGCAAAATTGTTTATACTGGCAAACAAATGCTAGTTTCATCACTTTGATTCAGAATGAGACACAGAAATAAGTCATCTCATTTCTATCATCTGACACGTCTGAATTTTATTATTAATAAGAACTTTTGATAGGTTCAACACCACTGAAGAGAAAGAACAGCAGCCCAGACCCGGGGTTTATTCCTTCCCTGACTTCTGCCTAACCTGGGCAATACCCAGCAGCCCCTGTGACCATCCATGGGCTAGGTATGAAAACACCGGGCGCAAAGCAAAGGGCTAAGTAGAGGAAGAGTAAATGCTCTTTTGCCACAACGCCTAGCCTTGCTATATAAACCGGAGAATGGAAAAAGGCCAGAAAGCAAAACCTTAACATATGATCAACTAAATTGGGCTCTAGTAAATTCTTTCCCTGGAGGACAAAAGACCTACGCTTTTGGACCAGGGCATGCGATATTTTTCTGACAGCAGAGTTTTGAGCATAAACTTGTCTTCTGCTATATCACCTAGGCCTGGGCACTGAGCACAGAGACTGCTTACCTCAGTGGCCTCATTCTCCACAAGCAGCGGCCTGGCTTTGTTCCAAGGCCTGGACCATCGGTGAGTCTCCGCCACCTTCCAGCTGTGGGGGACTAGACCCTCTTCATCAGTCATTGTTTCTCTCTCCCTCCTCTCGTCTGTCCTCGCCTACAATCTTTAAACCCCTTAGTTTTACTCTTGTGTTCCAATTCACTGGCCATCAACACGTTTTCTTTATCCTATTTCTCCTTGTAACTTATATTACTGTCAGAACTGGCTGGCATGCCCCATTCTCCAGCCCCTACCTCAGCAAGCCATTTTGGGTGGTGACTGAAGGAGCATGGGTAAACAGCTTGCACCCCCAGGTGGCTGCAGGATGAAGAGCTCTTGTACTTCCAGATATGCTGATGTGAGATTAAAGTGCTGCCAATTCAGACTCCTGATCTTTCCCCCTGAAGATATCTAATGAAGACCAAATGGTGAGAAATCTTACTGTTCTTTAAATTTAAACTTCACTGGATAGCAACCAGTAAGGATGCTTACTGATTTGTTGGAAAAAAACTTTTAAAGTGTTCAATGGACCTGTGAAAATTTTTTGAAGATTTTGACATTTATGTTTCTTTAAAATTAATTGATATTGATGAAGATGTATGGGGAAGAAATGGGGTTTTTTGGGAACTGAATTCCAAACCTCAGCTTTCTGATTAGGGTCAGTGAAATGCAAAATAAGTAATCTGAAGCTGTTCCCTCTCTCCTCCTCATGGTCTAGACAGTTGCTCTTCTGTCTTTCTTAGCAAAGGGCCTGATTTCAGCAACAACTTTGGAGAACAATCTCATTTTTCTCTGCTCATCTTTGAAATGGTTCTAAATGGATCTAGCATGTAAGGATTTTAGCTTCCATCGCATATTGGAAACCTCCTTGACATAATATTTGGAGGCGAACATAGCTAAATGGGTATATGAAACTTAACTTAAAAACTTAAATTACTGGTGTTATCAGGCAATCTTTGTTTTAAAAATAAGTATGGCTGTGGTGAAACTGTCCGCCCAACCAAAATCCCTTTAGGAATTTAATGAAAGGAAAATAAGCATAGGTCCCACCTTCTTAGAACAAAAGTTCTCAGTGTTTCTTCATAAATATTGGTAAAATCTTTGCTGAAATTAGTACACATGATCAAAATTTCAAATGAAAATGAAGAGATCTCTGTGTCTACTGTCTCTGGAGGGCTATTGTTATATAAGTGGCACCTCTATAAATTCTAATGTAATAAAAACTAACCCCAAATTTTGAGATCACAATGTAGAATTTCTGGTAAATGAGAACTAGTAATTCATACCAAAAAGTTTCACTGTGAGATTTGAATAATTTGCATAGCAATTTTTTATAGAAGATGCTAGACCTTCTTTACAATAGTTTAGTCTTATTTAGAGCAATGTTTCTGATTTTGTTGAAAATTACAGACCTTATGAGATTTCAGAGACAATAGTTTCTATGGAAGCAATGCCTTCTTTGGTTTTACCGAGGATGATAAGTAAAAAATTGGCTTCACTTGTTTAAAAGTAACTCAATAAAATGTTTTTAACTTTCATAAACTTCTTAAAGTAAAAGCCTTTTTTTCCTTTTATCTCTGATGCTATCAGCAATTTGGGAAAATATAACTTTAAGAACAAAGATGAAACATTTATTTTTATTACCATCTGATGCTGCCAAAACTGTAAAAATCTCTTCTTCTTAGAACCCAATTGGAAAGATGATTATGTTATTGACACTTTGATTACGATGTCATATCTAGGACAGGCGAACACATAACTCTAAGGAACTCAGCTTATTTTCATGGAGTCAGTACATAACCTTGGGAAAACCAGCCTGATACTTGCTTCCAGGTTCCCAGCAGCCTTACTCAGTGGCAGGCTGAAGAATTTCAGGATGTTTTGGGAACCTTGAAAAGAGTAATTAATCCAAATTTATTGGTTTTGCAGACAAAGTCTGATGGTGATATCTTGGCATGATTTTTGAGCCTCAAGAGGCTTTTAAGAAATTGAATTCCTTCAGTTCCAGCAAAACAGTTTTAAAAGAACTTACATAATTAATCGCTGTTCTTGCTGTACTTAATAATAGACCAAACTTATTCAAATTAGACATTTTGTGTAGGCAAATTAATTTTGTTTGAGGGTGATTATGGGGAGAAAAATTATTTCAATAACAACACATTTTGGTTATTTGATTCTAGTTCTGTTGTCTTTGAGGTTTTTGCTTCCTGCTTGCAAGCTTCACTACATACTGAATTCTGAAAGCTTTCTCTAACATCAGGCTACGACTCTCCAAACTAATGTTTCCAAGTTCTCCTCTGATGCTTTAGAATTGACATCATTGAGAACTGAAAGTCCCCTATTTCTAAAACAATACAAGCAGAAGTGAAGCAACATGTGAACTCCAGAGAAATCACAACACTCACCCATGAACAGTCTTCATGCTGACTGCTGGACAACATCTGATTAGAAACTTTCAAAGTACAAAAGGTGCTCTGAACACAGTACCTAAAAGTCTTCAGCTGTGTACCTTCAGGACTCAAGTGGGTTTATAATTTACTCCAGTCATTAATAATTATATTTCTTTTGCTTCTACAGAAATGCCTCATCTTATCTAACTGCTTGCATACAATATAAAGACATAACTTCGGGAGCCTACCTGCAAGAAAGTTGCTGACAACTATTTCAATGGACTTACCTGTTATCTGGACTCGAGAGATATGGACAATTTACCAACTCATGTGTGGAAAGTCTCAGAAAGTTTCAGGGGAGGGGATTGTGTGGATCCTGGCAGACAACTCCAAAATGTGCAATAGTGGCACATTGAATAAATTAAAATTACTTGAGAAAAAGAAGTTCAGAAAAATTTCTGAATTTAATTATCTTTCAACCATAAGAGAAAGATTTTTTTTCTCCCCAACAACACAAAAGAAAAACAATCTCAGAAATTCAGAGAATCGTAAGCAATTACTATGAATGTTTGTATGCTGACTAAATTGAATAATGTACAAGAGAGACAGAGTCTTAGAAATATAAAACCATCTGAAACTGAATCAGGAAGAAATTAAAAACCTGAACAGACTGATTACTGGCAAGGAAATTGGAGCAGTTATCTAAAGCCTCCCTAAAAACCAAAGTCCAGGACCAGATAGCTTCACTGGTGAGTTCTCCCAAGCATTCAAAGATGACATACTAATACCTATCCATTTCTCACATTTCCAAACACATTTTGAGGTGAACATTACCATAATATCAAACTCAAGACAACACACACACAAACTACAGACCAATTTCCCGAATGAACACAGATAAACAAATACTCGACAGAATCTTAGCAAACAGAATTCGATGCATTAAAATGATCATACACCATGACCAAGAGTGGGATTTATTCCAGGGACACAAGGGTGGGTTCAACATCCGAAAATAATCAACATAATTTACCACAACTCTAGCAAAATAAAAATCATATGACCCTATCAATAGATGCTGAAAAAGACTAGATGGAATATATCTCAACATAATAAAGGCCATATACCACACAGCCAGAGCTAACATGTTCACTGGTAAAAAACTAAATCCTTTACACTGTTGGTGGGGTATAGATGGGCCCAGTCCCTGTGGAAAAGACTATGGAGGTTTCTCAAAATACAAAAAACGAGTCTACAACATGAGTCAGCAACTCCAATCTTAGCTGTCTACCTTGAGGATACAAAAACACTTATTTTGAAGAGAAATATATTTCTCTAAGATAAAGAGGTCTTATTTTATATACAAATGTTACATGCTTATGGTTTTTATTCCTTGATTTGAAATCTACTTGTGATGGCTGCTTAAACATTATTCGCTTTGTCTTGAACAATTGAAAGTGAGTCAGACCTTACCAAAAAAAAAGCTTTTAAGTCATCTGAATGAGTAAGCTTTCTGGACCAGTGTCATCATGGGAGAAAAATAGCTGTATCCTTGTTCACAAAGTAGTATTCAGAAATAACTTATGTTGGCCTGTGACTAAACTAAAATATATTTGTTTGGTGTTTGAATAACAAAAACCAAACTCTCTTTTTAGTTTTGATTTGCTTAAGATTTAACTGATCACATGATAGGTACATTTTATTGCCATGCAAGTAGGATTTGCTAGTGACATCTGCATATGTAGCAATATTGAATTAGAATAGAAGCTAAATCTTCTGATTTTTTTGGTAATAATTTTTTTGGCTTTGGCAGTTAAGTGTTAATGACTATCAGTTACAATTTTTCCATTAATTTTAAATAAAGTTGAAAAATATACCTCTTTTATCCTAGTGATTTTATACTTTATTTTTTTAATTTTTTTTTATTAAGGCATGTTTTATTTATTTATTTGTTTGTTTGTTTTTTTATACATGCACTGGGTACAGTCAGAAGCGCAGGAGGGTGAGAGAATTCACCAGAGCCAGAGCAGGGAGCAAAGCAGGCAGAAGGACCGAAGTACACTGCTGAGGGGAGCAGCGGGCGGCAGGAGAGGTCTGCGCGCCACGTGGGACCCTCCTCCAGTGGCCGGGGAGCAGCCGGGGATCGAACCGGCACTGCAGAGGCCGCGGGTAGCTTCGCAACCCAGCGCTCAACCGCTGCGCCACTGGGGAGGCCCTGATTTTATACTTTAAAATAAACAATTGTCTAACATAACAAAGAAAACATCCAGAATTTTCACTAGTTGTTTATATCTTCAGTGCTGAGTGAAGAGTTTGAAATCAAGTGTTCTCTCTTTTCTTTTCCCTCATATGGAAACCAAGACTCAAAGGCATTAAATGACTTAATAAACCCATCTGAAAGAGTCCAAACAGTTCTCTCCATCTCTTCACTTCTAAGCTAGTTCCCTTTCATCCTATGCTCTCTTAATTAGAATTTGGGGAACACAAACCTTGAACATAAAAAGTTAGGTGTGGTTAATTTAAAATTATCTTTCTCCTAAAAGTTGTTTAGTCTAAAGTGTGAGGTTTCCTTAGATGATTCACCAGTTGATAGTTGCATAAAATGGACTAAGTATTTTCTAATTCTCTAGCAGGGATTGATTTACATTGTTGACAAATGCATCCATCCTTTAAAGAGTCCTGATGTGAACTTTGAGTGTTAGAAGTTGTGGAAAAAATAGTTTATTAAGAATTCAAATGTGACGCTAATATGTCAACTTAATCACAAGAAACTAGCTTTTAAAAGTCATAGATTTGAAAGTATTTCTCACAGAGCATTTGCTAGGGCTATTAATGAATAACCACCACATTACCCACAGTACTCCCACAGCCATCATTTCCTTTTAATTTATAAAAGGGACGAATAGAAGATGTACTATTTTTTTTTTCTAAGCCTGAGGATGTTATGATTCCATAATAGAAATCACAGGTGAATGTGGCAAGACACAGGCAATCACTTGCTGAACATGTTTCTGAAACCTAGGGAATTGTTTTCACTTGCATATGATTAGACTTTCAAAACATGAGATTATTTTTTAGAGTGAATCTGTGAGCTGTTTTCTACAGATCATTTAAAATAAGCATTACTATTATCAAAATATTAAGCTTATTACTACTTACCTTTTCAGTGAATTGTGTCCACTTGATTTGTCCACTGGACTTCAAGACTTCCATTCCTTTCTATTCTGTATACAACCCCAAATATTGGGGGAAAAGAATCACTTACCATTATGATGGGAATCCCCTTTGCTCTGCTATCATCCTTAATTATATACAAAAAACATCATGACACAGTATTATACCAACAAAACCTAGCAACAAATCACAGATACTACTTTTGGAGTTCCCTTTTATCAAATATGGTTGAAAGGCTTTACACATTTTATCTTCATCTTTAACACAGTTTTATAGAGATGAGAACTTGAACCTGGGTATGTAATACTTCAAACCCCATGATCTGTACCTCTACCATCTATGCCTACGGAACTTCTTACTGTTTGTAGTATCCAGGGCAACGCTGACATTATTGAAATGTAATATAAGAATGTACAGAATGATTCTTACCTTAGACCAGTCACCCATTCGCCACACATAGCATTTCGAGTAATCTTCACAGTCCTCAGCCTCTCTGGGTTGGGTGGAGAGGACACATTTCTTTCTAGGGTTGGTACACCTCACAGTCCGATGGCGTACACCTTTGCCGCACTTGACTGAACACTGGAAGAGAGTATCAGTGGTTGGATGATTGCAGATTTAGAATAATAATTACATTATATAAGTACTGGTTCTAGTTATCTCTCATACATTCATTATGCACGTAAAGACCAGGTGAAAGAAGAAAGGATAATGTTTAGGCAAAACCCAGAATACATGTCAGTATCACAGACCAGATGAACTTAGGGGCACAGTGCTGGATAGAGTGGTTTTAGGAATACGGGACCATTATTACAGAGAGTAATTAAACACGGGTTAATTACGAAACACAAAAAATACACAATGATCAAAATGTACATTAGATTGATACCAAATTTTCACACTGTATTATGTGAGGAAATCGTTCATTTTCTTTTTGGTAAGATTTATTCTGCTCTAAACTTATGAAATGTTGGTGAAAATAATTTCTTACAGTATGTCATTTCTCACAAGTATTTCTTATATTTAAAACAAAATATTAGAACAAAACTAAATGAAAAACAAAACTAAAATGAAGAATTGGTTTACCTAATATATATCCCTAGAAATCATAATTCTATATGATTGAATAGATTGAAAATATAATTCTGTTCATAAATGGATGCTTTTTCTAATAATATGACATTACTGATTTGAAGATGGAAGTATCTTCCAATAACCTTTCCTGCATGCAGTGTACTTACTCATTTATCCCACCTACTACAGAATATTTGTAAAGGTAGGCTTCACAACTATCCTTACATCGAGCCCACAATGGGAGAATGGGGAGAAGATAGGAGTGATGAGAATAAAACTTGAGAATCAATTTATATTTATGTCTGAAAGGGGTCCAAAGAAATAGTTGAATATTGCTTTAACTATAAAAATATGAAGTATATAAGTTTAAATATAAAAAGTCTTGCATAAATTCTTATAACTTTCATTTAAATATGTTGATCTTTGAAGTGAACCACATGTGGGATTTGGGATTATAATTTTATTTTTTTGCAATTGAAACTTTCCCTGTATTGTATAATCAGTAAATTAAAACAAAAGAGACTTTTTAAATTGGTGTAAAACACTGAAACATATTACTTCCAGTTGGTGGCAAAAGATCGGTATAGAATATTTCTGATCAATTTCCTCCTGAACAGTTTGCAAAAAATGTTATGGTGTGGGCCTCCCCTGGTGGCGCAGCAGTTGAGTGCTGGGCTGCGAAGCTGCCCGCAGCCTCTGCAGCACCGGTTTGATCCCCGGCTGCCGGCGAGGATCCCACATGGCGCGCAGACCTCTCCTGCCGCGCCCGCTGCTCCCCTCAGCAGTGTATTTCGTCATCTGCCTGTTCTGTTCCCCGCTCTGGCTCTGGTGAATTCTCTCACCCTCCCGTGCTTCTGACTGTACCCAGAGCTTGTATAAATAAATAAATCTTTAAAAAAAAAAAAACGGTAAGACTGGAGGTGGGGTATTTTCATCTCTGATTCTCATGTCAATCTTCTTTCCAGATTAAATTAGTCCATTTTGATATAAAATTGGATATTACATTTATTCTCAAAACTATACACAACAACGGAAGGTCAATCAATTAAACAGTAAAGTACAGCTCAAAGAGAAAGAAAAAGTAAACTGGACTAATTTGGGGGGGTAGAAAGGGGGTGAGTTAATATTCACAAAACTTATCAAGGTACTTTTATCCTCATTTTCAGAAGAATGGCTATTTGCTATAACCTAGAATTTTCTGTCATTTTTTGATTCCTAATATTTTGGAACTTTAGCATATGGATAATTTTGGCCTGGGTGTGTTTTCAGAAGTATATGAGTTTATAAGTGTACCTGAGTAGGGGGGCATGGAACATTATACTACAAATGGGAGTGTGGTACAGTGAATTAGACTGGGTTCAAATCAGTATAAACTGGTGAACTGCTAGCTGTCTTGCATTGGTGATTCAATATAAACTGTAGCAAAAACAAAGTCCTGCTCACTGGAAATGTTTGTTAAAATTGAATTTTACAAAAAAAATTTGAATTTCCTTTTCCTTTTGAATGTCCAGAGATACAGAATAAGTCAAGTATGTATTTTATTATGTGTCCACTCAATTGATTACAGTATAGACAGAGGAATATCCTTAGTTTCTTCTGTTTTCAAACTTATCTATGATGTGTGATTCCCTTTTCAATCAGAAAGATACTGAAGCAGATCAACTCAGAACATGACACAGAATGATCTTATACAAGTTGAACTAGAAGAAAACAAAAAGACACCAGGCATTACCTCAGACCACACGCCTGCCTCCCACACAGTCATGCAGTCCTGGCCCTCGCAGCGCTGGGCAGAGGCTGGCTTGGGCCCCGCACAGTCCCACTCCTGGGCTCTAACCAATGTCCCGTTACTCAGTTGTTGGGTGCAGGCCACCTGTCTGCTCTGCATCCCTTTTCCACAAGTTCTTGAACATGGAGTCCATTCTGTCATCATCCACCTAAAAGTAAAGCAGAAGTCACTGAGACAGGTGAAAAGGTCTCAACCTACCATGTGATTTTGTCTAGAGTTAGAATGCTCATGTTTACTTTTTTCTTTGAGTCGTCCATGAAGAGAATCATGTCCGGATCTTGATCTTACTAGAATCTCAAAGTATCTATTAGATTCTGTCCCTGGTGCAGTGGATTCTTTGCCTGTCACTGCACATCATGGTAGTGCCTAATAAAACTGCTAGCATGCATGAGCCATTTCTGTTCTTTGTTTTAAACCTTCACAGTAACCCCATGTGTTAGGTGCACTGCAACTATCATGGCCATCTGCAGAAAGGGAAACCAAGACAGAGGTTTAATCACTTACCAAGGGCCATAGGTTGTGGAGCCACCACTGAAGGAAGGCTGCAGACTACCCCACAATGAAGACACATGCCCCCATTAGTGAGCTCATAGAAGCCTGTCATTGAGAATCCCCCTTAACTTGGGTGAAGCAGTCACCAATGCATTATTATTGCCTGTCACCAGCAACAAGATTTCTGTGCCTGGGACATGTCCTCCAGAAGGAGCTACATTTGCTACTTTAGGCTATCCCCTGACCAACTGCAATACATTCACTAGCGCTGGAGTGATGACTGCAGGAAGCTGGATGCCAAGTGCTCTCATTTGAGAGGTCCTCGGGACTCTCGTATTGCTTTTGATCTCACTGATTCACCTAATATACGTGGATTTTAACTCCTAGATGGAGACCATTTTCCAAAATAACCAGGATAGCGGTATGTATCTATGTAATTTCCATTTCTAATGAGTTGGGATCTCTCCTAAGGACCACTATTTCAAACATCCCCCCAGGAACGAACCGATGCTTACATCAGAACCGGGATTCATTAAATTTGGTATTTGCATGATTCCCGCTGATAAAACTCTGCATTTCCCATTAGACAACCTTGTAGGCACATCTAAATGTCCCAGTAGACTTCACATTCTCCTTCAGCAGTGTGGGGCGGTTAGAACCTAAGCTAGGTTTGGATTCTTACTATTTGTTCACATTCTTGAAACAATACGTAACAGCTGTTAAGTTTCCACTTTCTCTTTTGTGAAAGTGTTTATTATTAAACTGTCTGACATATAATGGGTACTCACTATATCATATTTATACTATTATAGTACATTTAGAAATGATTTATACCTATTCATATATCTCTCTAGTTTCACGTCGCACTTGTTTAGAAGTTAAGTTACACACTCGGCTTGCTCTCCAAATGCCTCGTGACACTTGTTTATATATAGCCACTGCCCAGATCCTTGACAGTCATCTCCACGTCTCTTCCACCTAGAAGGGTTTTGCCATCCAACCTTCAGTGAATATGTTCTCTACCCTCTATTATCTGGCTCACAGCACGTTCATGACACTAGATAATCCCCAGGGAAGTAAAAGGGCTAGGAGGTGGCTTAAGCCATTTGACTCCCTTTTCCTGTTTAGGATAGAAGCTCTTCAAAGGCAGAACTCAATGCCTTATTCCTTGCTGCATCCATACAACTAAACACAATAGCTAAACACACTATAACAAATTTTTCGATTTCTTGAAATGGAATTTGCTTTTCTCTCTTTTTTTATAAACAGTCTTAATTGTTCCAAATTAATTTAAGCCTGTACATTCCTGGCAGCAATCCAAAGTTTGAGGATGCCCATTCTCCTACAGCCTGCGTGCCGCACTTGTAAAGTGGGTTAATTCCCAATGAGTCTAAACTTCTATTCATGAAAAGCACATTTTCGCCATCTCGCCTGCACCCCAACATTGCCTTGCCCAGGGTCTTGCCTGCGGCTCTCTCAAGGATGTAGACTTAACATTTTGCTTTGGAGTCCCCTAGTGGATTTTTTCTAAAGTGAATATTTATCTCTGAGATTTATTTTAGTGCATGCTACTTTTTTCTACATGAGAATAACCAGGCCATAAGCACAATTTAAACTCACATGTGTACCTTTCCCCCAACTACAAAACTTAGAAGATACTACCACTTCTGAAGAAAAGTATTTGCAATTTCATGGGGTCTTGTATTTTAAAAATAAAATAAATTTCAGATAATCTTTAGTGTAAGTTATTTTTCATTCTTGTGAAATCTCAAAAATAAGAACTGAAATAAATTTGTTTCAGAATTCATCTAATTTGAAAGCACCCCATTTCTTTGTCCTTTTTACAGTGCTATTTACCAGAAGATTGATGTATTTTACATTTGGCACATAGGCTTACAGAAAGCCGTTTGGTAAAGTTTTCAATAAATATGACTAGAAATTAGAGTTTCTTTCTAGGGTGACAGGAAAAATAAAGCTTGCGCTATGCCAATAAGTCTTAGAGAGTTTTTATACGATGACCCCTAATAACATCCCATGTCCATTTCTTGCTTTTCAATATTTTGGTTAACCTCCCTGATGTTGCTTCTTGGTTGTTCAAAATATACTTCCTCCCTTTCCAAGGGAAGGAAATAATAATCTCTTAAGAAAAGGCTTCCTCTCTCCAACTGCAAAGATTTTTTACTCTGAAATGTAGTGACCTTTAAAAACTATTCTTTTTTACCAAATCCTTATTAGGGCATTCTTCCCCAACACAGCCGAGGTCAGTGTATTAACAAATAAATGGTGTGTGCTGTACACTCTGCTCCTTCACGGAGCCAGTCAGGAAGAGACAAGTGTGCTTTACTCCTCAAACCCTGATCACTCAAGATTCCTGATCTGTGCCAGAAAAATGTACTGCTCATTCAACTAACTAGAAGTTATACAGTATATAGAAAGCTACCTTGGAATATTTTTTTAAATTTTTAAAATGTTTTTAAAGATTTATCTATATATTTATACAAGCACTGGGTATAGTCAGAAGCGCGGGAGGGTGAGAGAATTCACCAGGGCCAGAGCAGGGAACAGAACAGGCAGACTGACGAAATACACTGCTGAGGGGAGCAGCGGGCGGCGGCAGGAGAGGTCTGCGCGCCATGTGGAACCCTCACCCAGTGGCCAGGGATCGAACTGGCGCTGCAGAGGCTGTGGGCAGCTTCACAACCTAGCACTCAACCGCTGCGCCACTGGGGAGGCCCTACCTTGGAATATTTTGATAAGTGATTTAGTACAAGATAAATTAGCATTTCCATATCTATTAAAAGATAAAGAGAAGATAATTTTTAGAGCCTGTAAAAACAAAGCAAATCCAGGTTTAGAGCTGACAGGACAAAAGCTAAACTCTCTTCTTCTTTACCTCTCACCTGAAATGGAAAAGACCAAGGGACCTAACTGCAGGCAATGATTTCCCTGGGTCACCCTTCCTATTATGTTTCCTTGCCTAAACTTTTTTTTAAGAAAGATTTATTTATTTATTTATACAAGCACTGGATACAGTCAGAAGCGTGGGAGGGTGAAAGAATTCACCAGAGCCAGAGTGGGGAACAGAACAGGCAGACCAACAAAATACACTGCTGAGGGGAGGTGGGTGCGGCAGGAGAGGTCTGTCGTGCCATGTGGGACCCTCGCCAGTGGCCAGGGATGGAACTGGCGCTACAGAGGCTGTGGGCAGCTTCGCAGCCCAGTGCTCACCGCTGCGCCACCAGGGGAGGCCCCCTCACCAAAATTCTTAATTCATATACTTAGAGAGTCTGAAAAGCATACAGCCAGGCAGGTACAATTGATATAACATTATTGAAAGTATTTAAATGTGCTTTTCTTTTTTGCACATTCTTTATTATTTCTTAACCTAGTATTTTAGAAACATGTTTGTGTGGCGCCAAGGTGATGCACAGAACTGTTAAAAAATAGGAATGCAAAGGAGAGGAAAAGTGATAATCAGCTTTTGATACCTTAAATACACTGAAACTGTAAGGTGCAAGTCCTGAAATTCTATTTAGTAGAAGGGGGAAGGATTTTCCAAATTATTCTCAGATCTCATTAAAATGGCTACAGCCTTGATGGAGGACTTAAAAATTGAGTTCTGCAAGAAGCTAGAAATGCAAGGACTCAGGATGCAGGGCTGTATCACAATGGGGAAGCACTGGGGTTTAGGGATATCAGAACAGAACATCAGCCTGCAGGGCACCAAATCACAGAGATTATTTAAAATAGAAAGGCTTAAATATAGTTAATTGGCAACTTTGTCCCTCTTCCCTCCCTCCCCATACTACTTATTGTGGTGGAGGGTCATGAAAGATTGTATTAGTTGCTGACCCTATAAAACTATAAGTTCCTTGCGACTCTGAGTTGTAGGATATGTAAATTCCAAGTGGCAGGTTACTGATCAAAAAGACTAATCAACAAAAAATTAATGAAACTAAGAATGGTTCTTTGAGAAAATAAACAAAATAGACAAACCTCTAAATAGACTGACAGAAGAAACAACAGAATCACACAAGCTAGAAGAGCAACTACGACAGCACAGAAATGGTCAAATTTCTAAATCAATAAAGTTTACTCAGCAAATGAGTTGAAAAACTCATCACAAGCATGGACAATGAAATAGCAATAAAATAAATTTCCCCCAAAGAAAAGCCCAGTACCAGAGAGATTTACGAATGAATTTTATCAAACCTTTATCAAAGAACTAAAAAGCCAATTTTCCTCAAATTGTTTTTAAAAATACTGAAGAGGAAATACTCCCTAATATATTTGACTATGCCATCATTACCCTAGCAGGTAATGGGAGGTATATGGAGCACAAGAAAAGAAAATTATAGACAAGTAAGATGATATAATATCTTCAACAAAATACTAGCAAATCAAATTCAACAGCATATCACAAGGCTTATGCATCATCATCCAGTGGGATTTGTTCCCAGCATGCAAGGATGGCTTATTATACATGAATCATCAATGTAGTACCTCATATCAACAAAAGTAAATATAAAATTATATAATAATATTAGGTACAAGGGAAAGCATCTGATAAGATCACCCATTTATTATAGTAACTCTAAAGAAGGGAATAGAAGGAAGGAACCTACCTCAATATAATAAAGGCCACATATGACAAACCAATTGCCAACATAATACTTAATGGTGAAAACCTGAAAGTTTTCCCTTTGAGCTTAGGAAGTCAAGTATGCCTATTAGCAACACTACTTATTGGCACTATACAACGCTACTAGTATTAGAAGCTTTGACCAGAACTATTTCAGACAAACTGGAAATAAAGGGAATCCATGCAGGAAAAGAAAGTAAAATCATCACTGTTTTAGATGATATGATGACATATGAAGAAAATTCTAAAGACTGCACCAAAATGTCATTAGAAACAATAGATGAATATAGCAAAGTGGCAGATTACAAAATCTGCATACAAAAATCTATAGCTTTTATATGTACAAACAATGAATGAAAAGCAAAGGGAAGCACGAATAAAATCCATTTATAATTTTTAAAAAGTAATTAACAACCCTGGAATCAATCTAAGGAAGTAAAGGGCTATACAATGATGGGACTGTGATTAAAGAATTAGAGATTGAACCAAAAATATTGAAATTTCTATGGAACCACAGAAGGCCCTCAATTGCATAAACAACCCTGAGAACAAAGCAGAGAAATGCAGATGCCGAGTTACCTGACTTCAAACTTTAAAGCAGCAATACTAAAAACAGTATGGTACCATGGCAAAAAGAGATGCATGGATCAGTGGAATAGAAAGGGAAATCCAGAAATAAATCCACATACATATCAGTACTGTATGATAAAACAGCTATGCCCATACAGTGGGCAGGACAGTCTCTTTAGTGAACAATGCTGGGAAAACTGGATGTCACACAAAAAGAATGAAGCCGTATCACTCTCTCACTCCACACACAGAAGTAAACCCCTGATGGACTGCAGACTTAGATGTAAGGGCTGTAACAGACAATATATGGCAGAAAACATTGGTGAGCTGTTCCAAGACATCAGTGACAAAGATGGCTTTGGGAGACAAGTCCTATGGCAAGGGAAATAAAGCCAAAAATAAACAACCGGAATTACCTCAAGTGAAAAAAACTTCTACATTGAAAAGAAGATACAAGATTAAAAAGATGTCCTATCGATAGGGGAAAAAAATCATACAATATATAACTGAAAAGGGGTAATACCCAAAATATACAAAAAGCACACAAAAGCTTTGAGGGTAGGTACCAGGCACTCAGAGAAACCTGATTTTGGTATCCTGGGCCAGGTCTCCCTCAGTCAGTTTTACTCTGAGTAACTAGTTTAATGAATTTGTTTCAACGAAGTTTGAATTTGCTTCACAGTGGTGATTATTTCAGTGGGCAATTTATCACCCTTGGCAAGACTGAGCACACCATTTTTGAGAAGCTAAGAACAAATACTTAAGTCACCAGATTTTCTGTAGACGTCACCAACAGTTTATGATATAATTTTACATTCACCCTTCCTCCAAGTTTTCACACATGGACAGCACAAATTTGCGGTAAATCCTAGTCTTCATGCTCCAAACCACTTTCTATCAAGCCAATGATCTTGCTTTCTGAGACCTTGCACACCTAAAACCTTGCACTTTGTTACATAAGCCTTTGCACTGTCTTTCAGTTGGGATTCCATTCTTATTTTGAGCCTGTATCAAATGACAGCAGCACCGAGGTGGGAGAGGGTTAGTTACCTGGTCTGGCATGGCTGCTCATTGCACTTTCGAATTTGCGGCTCTGGCTTGGTTAAGTATTTGCACTTCTTGTTGTCCACAATGCTGATATTTTTGTTCATGATTTTTGTGCAAGACACCATTGTCTTCCTTTCTCCTGAAAAGAGCAAATAAACATATAAAGCAATGTTAATACAGGTCTTTAGGGAATGCACTTAGGAAGCATGCACAGGCTTGTCATTTTTAAAATATATTTTAAACAAATTTTAGATTAGCTCAATAAAGATGAATTTATAATTTACATAACCAAATGTGTCTCTAAGCTTAAGGAAGATGAATGGTAATGTTTTCCTCATTAGAAATTAAGTGGTAACTTCTGTATTAAAAAGGAATTGTGGTAGCACAACTGGACAAGTTGCTGATTAAAGATTTGTTGTGGACTGTGCCGTCTTTTAGTGTTAAGTGGGGGATAGCTGTATCTGCAAAAAATCTATGTCATATTATTGAGATCATGGAGCTCTCCATTCTGTCTTCTAGCACAGAACACACAATGTTGGCCATCTTTTTCACATCTGGAGAATCTCAGGGTTCTGGTATTGCAATTTCTTCTATAGGAACTCAAAATAGACAACAAAGTCCCAAAAGCAGCTAACAGGACCTTTCCCTGGAGTTCGAGGTATGCCTCCAACAGATCTTATGCCACTCTGTGAGGTGTGCACCAGTGGGCCAACAGTGGGGAGAGAGATGGACATCCAATCACAGATTAATACAAAGTGCTCCTTAGGGCATATAGATTAGGAAAAAGGTGTGTCTCTAGGGAGAAGAATTAGAAGACAGTGCTCCTTTCTCCACACAGAAACTGCCCTGCAACAAGGTATTCTACTTGGCAAATGGAGCACAGGATGGACCTTGGTCCCCAGGACATTAGCAATGTGCTAGCTGCCTGATTGAATGTGACAGCTATGACTCAGAGGTCCTCGAGCTTGACCTGTGCGGCCTACCAAGTCAGGTAAGCTGATGCTAACTTGCAGAAGAAAGGCAATTTTCCAGGCCTCAAGCAAATAAATGTTAAGGGGCTGGCCAGGTTATTCCTTCATATTTCCAGATGGGTGGGGTGTGGCATTACACTTAATCACAGTAGTATCCAATACCCACCAACTTCAAATACTTTTCAAATAAACTGCTAGAGAATCAGAAATGACTTATGTTCTTCTTTGTTCCTACAGAGAGAACTAGCGTCACAAAGAGTTAGGCATTACCAAAATGTAAGAATTTGGGACAGAATTTTAATCAACTTCTCCTGCTTTTCTATGCATCAGGTGCTCCTTTTATGACCTGGTACAGATATTAGGTGGATATGATGCAAATTTTATATAATGATAAAAAATGTAAGCCCTATTTATACTTTATGACTACCTAAAAGCAGAATTAAATATTACTTTTATGAAATACAACTGTTAGTTCAAAAATCTAAATTCAAATCTTCAGAGTCACAAGATACTCTTTTATAGAACAGATGTAGTTCCCTATAATAATCCAATGTGGGTTTTTTTTGCCAACTATAATACAAAAAGATGACAGGCATTATTCAGAAAGTTTTAGGTGAACGTATATGCAGTCACAGAATAACTATGAGCTAATTATGTTTTCTTTGCTCAGAAAATATCGAACCTTAGTTATGTTGGCCCAGAGCTAACATACTGACTTACTGAAAAAAAAAAAAAAAAAAAAATCATGTCTTAACTACAAGTGCTGATAAATTGGAGAACTAGAAACTGGCACTATTGCAGGGAGCTCTTTTAGTGATGCTCTAAAAAATTAAGAGGTGTGTGCCTACAAATTGAAGCAATTCCATGTACACTGTACCAAAGAAACATACATCATGAGATTTTGGGAAGATAGAGAAGCTCAGCCTTACTTTTAAAAATTTTCATGGAAAAAAAAAAAAAAAACCAGAATCAGGAAAAACACCTATTGCTCAGCTACAGACACAGTACAACTATGAAAATCCAACTAAGATCCTTAAACACACATGGAAATATAACTATCACATTCTATTTTTTTGGTATATATTTCCATGTCCTAGCCAACACAGGAAATTTCCATTCTAGTATCTAATAGCAGTATTGACAGTGCATCCAATTCTGTGGAACTGAGGGACAAGCTTAGAGGAAGTAACTGGCCCTCTGCCCGTGGCCTGAGTAGCTGTGAGCTGTTGACAGTGTAATACTGGCTTTATGGCCATTACCTTCACCTCTGGAGCATTCGTATTAAGTCAGTATTGGGGAAATCTGTTTCAATGTTTTGAATACAAGTTTGAATAAAGAAACCATTGTACATTGATCTTATTACCAAATTTAGGCAAAATGTGAACATAAGGGATTTTTTTTATTTGCTGATTGTTCTCTGAAGACATTTAATAAAGACTAGATATTGGGTGTCCTTCCCAGTTTCAGAGACAGGCTGTTATTTTTTCCTATGCTCTGTATTTAACCCATGAAATGGATATTTTTAATAAAATTATATTCTACCCAGGTAGATCACATTGCATCATAAATATGGAAACACATTCTTGAGAGTCAGTCCAGTGTTTCAATATACACAGTTGAAATTCTATCATATTGGACATAAAAAACTTTTAAATAAACCTGTGGAAGTCTGTAAAACAGGCTATCTGCACTCATTTGTACTTAGAATTTTCTTTGAAATCAATACATTTATTTTCTATTGAACTAGCAAATGGTCAGCAAGCAAGCAAATCAAAAGTAAACATACTTATATGAGGACAAAGGAATTTTCTGAGTATTTCTTAAAGATATGTAAAATGCTAGTTATTTTTGTGCATATATTTTCTTACTTGAACCATTTCCAGAATCATGTCATGCCATTAACTTCTTAGCTGTTCTTTTAATATTTCCATGAAATATTTTCCCTCAGGGTTTGGGCTTACTATCGAAATTGCTGTTTTTTTATCTTAATGAAAAATACTTTGTATTGTCCACAATATCCAACAGATCATCCAATCTGATCTTGTCATTTCCATGTACACAATATTTTGTGCTCCCACACGTTTGAGTTAAATTGGAGGGCTAGCATAACAACTCAGGGACCTTCATAAACTAGTTTCTTTCAACTCTTCTGGTTTTTTTCCACTTCTTGATCTTCATATTTCGTACACTAATAATAAACATCCTCACTAGCCTCAGTGCCTTTGTACCAAGCATATTCCTTAAAGGCTTTCTACATCATCCCATCTCACCCCTAACAGCAATTTCATTATCATGTAACCTGTACTAACTGGACAGTGAATTCACTAAGAGCAGAGAGCACCCATCTTTGGATCCTCCAGTAATAGTGGATGAGCAGTCAATACTGGGAACAGACTCAATAAGTGAGACACACACGTAATTTAAGCCTAAATGCTTTCTGGTGAGAGATTCATCTCAACTCTGCATTTCTGAAAATAGTGAAAAATCATCAGCGCTCTAAATGACAAATTATGGAATTTTTTATCTCCATTAATGGATTATCATTTAGGCATGAAAAATTCAAGTTTATAAGGAGTTTGTGTTAATATAATTAATGTTTCTACTTAAATAAGGTGCAATACAAAATTGTATTACATATTATTGAAATAAAATAATACAAATAAAAATCCATTTTGGTGCATATTCTTCTGGCTAATCTCATTTATTTGGGTACATGCAAAGTGCCTCTAAAATGTTAAAAGAGAAACAAACTACCCTTTTAAAAGATTCCAGCATTTGTATACCAAGTGGTTTCCTCAACTTGGATCCAAAACTTGGATGCCTCCTCAGAATATGGCGATGAAGGGGAAGTATAGAGAGGATGTCATTATAAGGAGCTAGCAGCAAAATCTTGAGCTTGAGCTAGCAGGACTGAATTAATGTGAAGAATATAGAGGATGTTTCCACCTTCAGTTTATATCTATTTAATAACTGATAATAATGCTTTCCAAATGAGATTACTTTGGGGTCCTTATTTCATACATTTTTCTTTTAGATCCAAATAAATTCCAGAGTTATACATTTAATATGTTCACTAGGTTGATGCTAATTCCATGTAAAACCCTAATATACCATGAAATAATGCATTGGTAATGCCTCTGGATTAAGGTCACTAAAATACATCTTTTTTTGTGTCAAAAACCTTTATTCACGCACCTACACTTCTGAAGTGCCAAAATAAATTTAAGACATTCCTTCAGACTTTTTTTTAGATGTTTCAGAACACCAAATATGACGTAAACAATTATTTCACAAATAAAATTTTAAGATGTTAGAAAACAAATTTTTTTTTTAAAGATTTACTTTATTTATACAAGAGCTGGGGTATAGGCCAGAGACACTGGAGGGTAAGAAGATTCACCAGAGACAGAGCAGGGAGCAGAACAGGCAGATGGACCGAAAGCTCTGCTGAGGGGGGAGCAGCAGGCAAGACGGGAGAGGTCTGTGGTGCCATGTGGGTATCTTCCTGGCAGGCCAGGAATCAAACCCATGCTGCAGAGGCTGCGGACAGCTTCACAGCGCTGTGCTCAGCCAGGGAGGCCCCCAAAATATAATTTCAATGACCAGTACTAAAATGCAGAATAATAGATTCATTAACATTTTATAGAGCTAGGCATTAGAATTTGAAAAGATGATGAGGAAAAGTGTGTGTCAAACTGTTGAAAATACATATAATCAACACCCCATTAATTATTTTAAAATAATATTTCTCTAAAAGAACAAATTTGTATTACTTAGCATTTTCTTACCTTACAACTGATATTAATAAACAGAAATACATAAAAATTCATTTTAATTTTGAATATCATTTTTTAAAACTTAGTTTTAGAGCCTCCCTGGTGGCTAGGGGTTAAGTCGCAGCGCTATTACCATTACAGCTTAAGTTCAAACCTCTGCCAGGGAGCTAACCTACATGGCGCAGCAGACCTCTCCTCTCTCACCCACTGCCCCCCTGAGCAGTATATTTCAGTAAATCCGCCTGTTCTGCTCCCCGCTCTGTCTCTGGTGAATCCTCTCACCCACTGCACCTCTGGCCTATACCCCAGTTCTTCTAAAAATAAATAATAAGATAAATAAATCTTTAAAAAAATTGAGATACAGATGCGGAAGATCATTCCAATAAAAATTTTACTATCTTTAAGTTTTCTTCCCCCACTTATTGCTGGCAATCTAATGCCTTACAATAGAATTTAAAATACAACTTACATGAAATACTGATTTTTTATACTGCCCTATCATATTTTACTTGCTCTTACTAATTGTTCCAGTGAAATAAAATAGTGCTATTATTTCTCTTTGCTGCTGAAGATAAATTTTGCATGAATCTGTTTCCAATGTTCTGTGCCTTGAACTTACTCTCATTTAATTCATGAATATGCCGAAAGATTACAAAGCTCTTTCTGGCTATGAAATCAACAATATGAAGTCAGCAATGATGAGATTCTTGAAATCCTGTCCCTCCACTTTATTTATGAACTGCAAAGGAAAATAATATCTAAAAGCCCAGAAATGTTTTGGCATTGAAATGACTATGTGCCCTATTAATATAGTCAGAGATAATTGAAAACTGTTGACTAAACACAATGAACAGATTTGGGAGTGCAGGTCTAGTGAGGCACTAATCATGTATAGGTCATGTAAGCATCAGGATTATTTTACAAAATAAGGCATTTGAAATAAAAATAAATACCTATCTCAATTCATATATAACAGTTAAAAATTGAAAAAAAAAATTCTTTGAATCCAAAGAAAACCCATGTAATCTCTAAGACCATGTTCTATGTTGTGAGAAGAAATGAAATTAAACCTTCTGGGAAGCTTTTGAAGGAAGTCTATGATGAAAACAGGAGTCCTGGATTCCAATCCTCACTCCAGCCCCCAATGGCCATGTGACCTTGGGGAGTCAGTTTCAAGATTTTTCAGTTTTTCCATATTATTAAGTCACTGGATTCTTATTCTATGTAGCTGACAGTGGAGGTATAGGCAGATGAGGGTAAGAGAAGTCATGCTTAAGAATGTTTACAAGTCCCTCTGACTCTGACAGTAAAACAATTTATAATGAACCTTCATTTCTTAAGGTTTGACAATTGGCAAAACATATTGTAGATTGTAATTAATGTGATTTGGGGGAAAATTTAATCAGCTCTTTGCAAAACTAATAATCTGCTTGTTCAACTAAGGACTAACAAGTTTGGTATGTTTACTTCTGATGCAGCTTTTATTAGGACAGCATTATGGAAGAAAAAAATTGAGGATAATAAAATTCAATGGACATGTATTTTCCTGGCTAGATTCCAGTGTAAACAGATTTTAACAATTGTGTTTAGTGTTATAACAAAAACCATTAACCCTTTCATCATTCCACTTCCTCACTGCATAGAGACTGATTATTCTCATCTGAGGGAAAATTCTATCTGTATTTGTTTTTCATTTCAAATGTTTTTTGTTCCTGTTTGTGTTGATTGCTTCTTAGTCTTTTAACTTAGATCAAGTGTAGTGTCTGTTATTATTTGAATAAAGGATGTGAACCAGAAGAGTGGGTAAGGTCGAGGAACAGAAATCTGGGTGTAGATGAGAGTGTGAGCAGAAAAGGAGGAAAGGGTGGAGGAACCCAGGTCACCCGATAATAATGGGGCCCAGGACAAAAGTGGTCAGTGAAAATTTCATTACAGGGAGGATTGATGATTTCTTTAAATTTCAAGAGTGATTTGAAATCATTTTGCTACCATTATTTTATGTCCTTTGGAACAAAGTGTGTACTGTATCCTCTCCCTCTTGTTGGGAAGATAACCTGCCCCCCATGTGCCTTTGCTCTGGTATCCCCAAAGAGCCAGGGGCTCCAGGAGTCAGGTGAGAAGGCCTGACTGCTCTGGCTCTTTCTTCCCAGCCCTGCACCTTGGGATGTTTCAGCATCTTTTTCTTTTGTTTCCCCTGCAGTCTCGAGCGGGCTGGGGCTCATTTTCCTTCTTACTCTCAGTGCCTTTGGAAGCTGCAGGCAGTATGAGTGGCCCTGCCCCTCGTGGCCACTACCTTGCCATTCTCCCTTTCTTCTTCCTAAACTTCTAACTTCGGATCTGACTAAGTAATTCATTCTCCTACTTGCCGTAGTTAAACACTAAACCCTGAGCCACTCCCATTTTTCTCTAAGATTTTAGTTTCTGAATTACTGTTATATTTGCTAACATTGCTCTTGGCACAGTTTTTCTATTTACAATGCCCATTAGAATGATTCCTCTGATACAGAGGCCTCTCAGCTCCTGGCCTCCTCCTCCTGGAGATCTTGCTTTACTTTACTTAAGTCACTAATTCCCCTGAGTTGTTATTACTTATTATGATAACCGCTTTATAATCTCAGCTATGTTCTCGCTCACCATCTCCTGTATACCCAGCCTTCTCCCTTCGCAACCCTGTGTCTACACATTCTTTAACCCCACCAGGTCCTATCATCCATCCATTCCACCACCTTCTCACTTACAAGTCCCTCATCTCTTTACTTTGTGGCTCAGTTCTATGGTTAACCATTTCCACTCCTTACAAATAATCTCAGGTCAGCCACATTCTCCTCTGGCTTTATTAAAGCTACCAGGCAATTTCCAGAGTTTGCATCAATAAGCTGTACATCCTTGAAGGTAACACATACCATTATGATGACTAGTGATCAATTCAAATCGTGATCACTGACAACAAGCAGTAGCGCCACCACACAGTCAAAACACGAGTCTCCATTTCATTCATCCTCTCATTTTCCTAAGTGACCCTTTCACATCTTCTCTGATTTCATAATTTCAGTATCTCCTTTTCTACCTTCACTCTCAGCAAGATGGCCTTCAAAGATAAAATAGATACATCCAGAAGAGTGCTGTCTTAAGTTCCTGACACCTGCTTCTGTCTACGAATACTGTCTTTTTTTTGAAGGTGGACGTTAGGAAATGGGTATAAGCAGTCAGTTAGGAACAGGGGGTGCTCCAAGCCCCAAGTCCATTTATCAGCCTGACTGAGAAACAATCATGGACTAGGAGGGCATCCCCCACAACCCAGTATAGAGTGGAATATCCAGAATGCGACACAGAACACAATGCTAAAGCCAACAGAACAAAGCTATTTTCAGGAAGGCAGGCCAGGAAACATGGGCAAACTCAGTGGTCCTTGGCAGCCCAGGAGACACCCACAGGCCAGCCAACCAGCAAGACACAATGCGGAGAACCTATTTGGCCAACCACCTTCTCCTTACCCACCATACCTGTACAAGCATCTATTTCTTGCCCCCTCAGCAGCTGCCCACTTGGGACTCCTCTCCGCTGGGAGAGCATTCCTGTTCTCCTTCCTATCTGTCCATAAATCTCTTGCTTTTCTGTAACTTTGGTCTTGACATTGAATTCTTTTCTCATCGAAGACAAGAACCAAGAGCTAGCCCACCTGGGGTCCTCATACTCTGGGCCCACTCCAAAATCCCCCGATTCATTTTCTCCCATTAGCAGTGATGAGCTGTCCATATTTTTACCAAAAGCAATGACTGCATGACATCACTTCTTGCCTGCTCAAGAACACCACTACTGCAATGTTTGCTCTCTCCTTTGCATACCAGTTTTTTATTCTGTCCTGGTAAATGCACATGGGCAAACGGTCGTGCATAATTTTCTTCAGATCCTCAAGTATGCAGATCACACAGAAGCAAATTCAGTACTGCTCTTTCATAGTATCTTTACATTATATATTTTTTAAGATTTATTTATTTATACAAGCACTGGGTACAGTCAGAAGCGCGGGAGGGTGAGAGAAATCACCAGAGCCAGAGCGGGGAGCAGAACAGGCAGACTGACGATACACTGCTGACGGGCGCAGTGGGCGGCAGGAGAGATCTGTGCTCCATGTGGGACCCTCACCCAGAGGCCGGGGATCGAACCGGCGCTGCAGAAGCTGAGGGCAGCTTCTCAACCCAGTGCTCAAACGCTGAGCCACCAGGGAGGCCCTCTTTACATTAATTTTAGGTCTACAGTGCTTGCAGGTAGATATACTTTGGCATTGAGAACTTTAAATATTTTATAAAAATGAGAAAGTAAAATATAAAAAGTAAACCCCAAAGATGCATCTATATGACTTAACAACCTGTATGGTATCAAGGTAAGCACATACATTAATATTCATACAAAACAACACAATAAGTGAGATGTGCAACAACTCCAAAGTCCTTTCTTCCAGTCACATCACATTTTGCCACAAGATAAAGGCAATTAACCACTAATTGTGCCACAAAACCTGTTATTCAAGTTTTTGTGGGTTTTAGAATTGCAGATAAGGGGTGGTAGATCTGTCTTAATTTTCAGCAGTTATTCAGAAACAACTGCTACTTAGGAAAGATTCATATTGGAAAATCACTCACCTCCTCCACACGTGGCATCGCAATCTTCCCAGCCTGTGTGTGTCCACATGAAAAGGGGTTCAGGTGCTTTAGAGCTCTGATTCTCTGGAAGAGGGTCTGATGGGACCGTGTATTCATAGTGCAGACCATAATTCTGGTCTTGAAACAGCAGCACCTACAATAGATAAAAGTGATCAAAACAGATAAAAGTTGATCATATTCAATATGAAGCATAAATTAAGGATGCTGACACCTTAAAATTCTTACTCTGTGGTGTGCATGCTCCTCTAACACATAGTAAAATTGCGATATTATTGCTAACATGTTGGAATTCTCATGCTTCTGAAATGACTGGAGTTTAGCCCTTTCCTCTGACCTAGAGACATCTGGATGGGAAGTCCACTTGAACGAGGTCAGAGATATCAGATCACTTTCTTTCAAGCCGATGAACTAGATAGTTTTCCAAAACATAATGTGTGTATGACATGACTTTCGTAGGGGTACAGAGATATGTGACCTAATATCAAGATATGACCCTTAACCTAGTAGTAAATACAGCTTTTCCATGCAGACAAAAATGTAGAGATGGCTGGTGAATAGGAGAGGAGAGAGGGCTTTGGGAAACCCTTCACTCCACAAGGGTAGGGAACTTACTTCTAAATCACCTGGAGGACAAGAATTTCTTTCCATGTATGCCTGCAGTTAATTTTTAATTTTGGCAAGTCTACTAGTTTTCTATTTGTGTAAAGATAATTTCCTTTGGAAAGGAATTTATGTTTAAATGAACTTTTTAATAATTTACTTAATTACTATAGTTATGTATATGTAAATGAAATAAACCCCCCAAATTATATTCACTTTAAATGAAGGGACAAAATAAGTTGATTTTTTGGCATTTTACTATGGCATGGTAAATATGGAATTTGGTATATTACTTCTCTAAATACAATGATTTATGGAAGCAATATATAATAATACAATTTAATGCATCAAAAACTAAATTTTAATTCATGCTAAATTATAGAGAACCCTCTTCAATAATTAATCTCCATCAAGGTAGTTGTAATGCTAGGTAATTCAGAGTTGCCACTTTACAGAAAAATTTAAATGAGTCCCACGGTAAGGATCTGGACATTTCTATTGTATTTTCATTATATGTTTTACACAAGACTCAGTTCAATATATCAACAGAAATACTAAGATATTTTAACATGTGGATTCAGGAATGAGTATGATGGCATTACCAATAATGAAAATAATGGTTTTTAAATTCTATGCATAACCGACTGGCTAAGTACATCACAGTGTTTATTTTGGCTTTCACTATCTTATGTGATGTAGCCATTTACATGTGACTTTCAGTTAAATGAGTTAGAAAAAAGAGACAGATTGATTTACCTTCTATAAAGCCATAATCAGACTTTTAATTTGATGAAATGATCATCATAAATAACAGCTATTTGCCTCTTATTTAATTAAATGAAAACCTACCTACTTTTTCCCAATAAACTACTTTTTCATTGATAGAACTTCAGATTATCCTTAAATATCTAATGCCATTTGAAATAGTAACATTGGCTAGGAAAATCATTAGCTCTTTCTTAAACCATTTGAACTTGGCAGTTTTATTTGTAGGAAGGAAAGTGTGACCGTGTTCCAGTCAAGAGCACACACTGAAGCAAAGCAGCAGAACGTACTTCCAAATTCAGTACAAGCTTTCAGTCTGTAATAGTCATTAAAGAAAAATTTCTTAAAAGTACAGCTTCCCTTGGATTACTGACTAAATCCAGGTCACCCAGATGCCTTCTATAGTCATAGTTCACTAACTTTAATTATGTTTTATGCTTCCAGGAAAAACCTTGGTAATTGCCAGTCAGATTAAGGATCCTGTAGCTAGGAAACTCCTTCTCCTCAATGCTGAGGTCTCACATACACTTTCAAGATTTTGAATTAGAGGCTCAGGTCTAGCCTCATTAAAAAATGTATGTTACATTCATTCATATCATTAGGGAACCTGATGGCATTTTCTGAAATCCAATTATTAAAAATGTTTGCTGTTGAAAATGTTGTTATAAATAATTCAAATCATAGGAAATGCCAGATACTGGTGAATGTTTGTTTTGTCACTTTTTCCTCACTCCAAATGAACAGGACACAGAGTTGAGTTTCTAATTCAAATTAAATAATAGGATTTAAAGAGTCATGGACAGATGTAAAAATTATTCAAAGTGTAAGTAAACTTATGATCGAAGGCCGTTTGGTGTAAATGTTATATCTAAGCTTTATATCAGGAGATGCAGCATAGAAAACTGATTAACACCTGATTTGTTCCCAGGTAAATAACTTACTGGGGAACACTGTGCATATAATCTTTCTCATATTTCATCTTACATATCTGTAAAATGGAATGATAATACGTATTACAAAGGGTTATTTTGAGGATTAAATGCTGTAATGAAGTTTTGGACAGTATCTGGCTCCCAGTATTTTATGAACAGTATATACTATTATTGCTACTGTTACTGTCACAAAGATTTGGTGATAGTGCTGAGACTTAACCCCTAGGCCACCAGGGAGGCTGTTACTAGGATTTGGAACAGGAAGTTCTGACACCACTCACATAAATCCCTTTATTCCTGTTGGTAACACCTATTAAAGGCAGTTATATAAAACATTATTATTTGAAATGTGATCCATGGACCAGCAAACAGTAGTGGCATCCCTTGGGGCTGGTTAGAAATGCAGATCTCAGGGTCTACCCCAAACCCAAATAGAGAGATGCATGTTTTAACAAGAAGCCCAGGTAATTTGCATGCACATTAAAATAGGAAAAGCAAATGTGTTCATATATGATTTGAACTTCTGGCTCTTAAGACTAGCAATACATCCCCAACTGAAGATAAATTCAACTTAAATTGTGTGGTGATGTTAAATAATATAGACCACTAACCTGCAGATCAACCATCGGCTGGTGGTGTTTCAGAGTTGTTTTTAATGTGTTGGCTTAAAGAGCTGTGGAAGTGTTTGAACTTTAAGACTTTGCCACTAAGATGTAAAACAAGCCAGCTGAGCCAACAGTCCTGTGACTTCTTAGCCATGAGCACTGAATGCAAGATCAAGGTCAAAATGGGCATGTGGACCTGCCACCAGCTAAGACACAGAGCCCTAAAGTCCTGCTTTTTTCACTCTAAACTCTGTCCTACCTCATAGTACTCTTTTACTCCCTGGTAAAGAAACATATCCCAAACATTCAAATTTTTATCGTTCTTTACAGGAACCAATTAACCTAATAAGAAAATAGAGAAACTTGACGCACTATTAGAACAAATCTTTTCCCAGGGACAGTAATTTTTATCAAAAGCATTTTATAGAGATTGTACACATTTTATGAATGTATGAAATACTATAAATTCTCTTTGCAGATACCTGGTTTGTAAATTTATGCTTATAGGGGAAAAAGGCTCCCTAATGCCTGGTCATTCACCTCTCCTTTGTATCTGTGAATTACAAATTCCTTAACATATCTTGTTTCTCCTATAATTATTACCAATTTTAGCTTCATGATTTAAAACTTCTAAGAAATCCCTTAAAACCCACTTCTTTTTTGTCTTTTTATTTATTTTATTTTTTAATTATTTTAATTTTTATTTTTTTACATCATTGTTCATGTTTAAACATTTGCTTCCCCCCCACCCCCTCAGGTGTAGTCCCCATAGTTTCCCTCACCAGTGCACCCGTAAACCATCACCACAGTCCCCTGTGCTCCTCCCTCTCTCCCTCTGATCCCGCTCCCTCCTCCTCCCCTGCAATATGCCTCTGATTTATAATTGTCTGTTTTTGCTTTGCTGTGCTTTGTACTGTTGTTATTTTTTTACACTGATGTCTTACTTGGTTCCCCTGTATTCCTGCTATAAGTGAAACCATGAGATATTTTTCCTTTTTCTTGTGGCTTAATTCACTGAGCATAATTCCTTCTAGCTCTATCCACATTGCTGTGAATGGCATGAGTTTATCTTTTTGATTGCTGAATAATATTCCATTGTGTATATATACCACATTTTCTTGATCCAGTCATCTATTTTTGGGCATTTGGGTTGTTTCCAGTTTTTACTTATTGTAAATAATGCTGCAATAAACATAGGGGTACAGGTGTTCTTTTGAATCAATGTAAAACCCACTTCCTAAATAATTTTGAATATCTACCTGATGATTAAAATTTGGAAAAAGATTAGAGAAGACATGATGGGAATGCCTTTTGCCATAGTAACTTGATTATGCAATGTATCAATTCATTTCTTCATACCAGCAGGTGTAAAGGTGATGTAGTAGGACCTTTGGCCGAGATCTTCTCCCAGAGGCCTCGTCTGACATAGTGAACTGTAGTTCCTGCTAAGTTGAATGCTCCAGAATGTTCAATCTTCCAGTCACTATTAATAGATTGTTTTCCAGTGTCTCGGAGAGCTATGAAGAGGTTGACAAATATCATGAGAATTAACAAGTCAGCATAACTGACCAATATACATTTCACATAATTTCATTAAATGCATTTTTTTTTTTAATTTTAAAGCGACGGGCAAGCACTTTCAGATGTAAACATGAAGCATCTCCTCTTGGGGGCTTCCATAGTCAGCAAGTGCCACAGCTCTACTGTCATGAAGCTGTCACAGCTATAATGCCACACTTATCTGTGCCTCCTCCAACCTCCTTGGACACTTGATGTCTATACCCCTTGTTGTGATGCCAAATTATTTATTAACACATAATTATTTTAAGGTGAGGCATGTCTGTCATGTGTGTGTGATGGTCACACGGTCAGTGTGAGGGCTGGCACTCCGTCTGAGGCATGCTCTTTATTGCCTATGCCACCCAGGGAAGTGTGTGACTACAGAGAGTAATTCAATAGCATGTTAATAACTATAAATTGCAAGGTTATGTTCCTCAAAAAACAATTCAAAGATAATGTGTTGGTTTTAAGAACAGGACTTGGGACATTTTTTATTTTTACTAGAAATTATCTTTTTTTTAAAGATTTATTTATTTATACAAGAGCTGAGGTACAGACCAGAGGCGCAGTGAGATGAGAGGATTCACCAGAGACAGAGCCGGGAGCAGAACAGGCAGATGGACCAAAAGCACTGCTAAGGGGAGCAGCGGGAGAGACAGGAGAGGTCTGCCGCACCATATGGGTATCTCCCTGGCAAGCCCAGAATTGAAGCCACGTTGCAGAGGCTGAGGACAGCTTCCACAGTGCTGCGCTCAACCCACTGTGCCACTGGGGAGGCCTGGACTTTTAAGATTACTTGTTACTAATTTTACCGTGTACAAGAATGAAAGATAAATGCTATCACCTCTAATCAGTGATTATTTGCATGGATTTTTGCAGAATAACTATTTACCTATATATTTTCTCTTTCTCTTTTGACCTAATCTCTGTACTATTTAAATGAGATACACAACACAGAAATGAGATGACATGATTGCCATTTTTTAAAAGATTTATTTATTTATACATACAAGAGCTTGGGTACAGGCCAGAGGTGCTGGGGGTGAGAGGATTCACAAGAGACAGAGTGGGGAGCAGAATAGGCAGACTGACCGAAATACAATGCTGAGGGGAGCAGCAGGCAAGTCAGGAGAGGTCTGCTTTCCCATGTGGGTAGATCCCTGGTCAGGGATTGAACTCATGATACAGTGGCTGCAAATAGCTTCATAGTTTACCTCTTAACTTCTTGCACCACTAGGGAGGCCCCCCAAATGATCTCATTTTTTAAATTTAGATTTTCAGACTCTCCTATACAATTGAATTCTCTTTCAAAGTACATCTATGTGAAGTCATTGAAAGCTTTATGTTTTAATTCCATGAAAATATTTTGATAACTTAAATGGACCAATCTTTATATTATTTAGGTAATCTGTATTCATTAAATGCTTAAAGGTTCCCAAGTTTTTTACATTATAAATAATGCTCAGGTAAATATATACTAATTGTGCATATTTCTGAGTATTTCTCTTGGATAGATTCCTAGATTTAGAATTACAGAACCAAAGAAATGAATATTTAAAAATCTGGTAAAAGTTTCAAATTGACCTCCATAAATTAATTTGTATCAAATATGTTAACAACAGTGACTGAGTGTCCATTTCTGAATACCGTGTTTGGAAATAGCTTTCTCTTTTGTGTACTGTTTTATCACTACTGATTTCTTATCATTTATCAGCTATCATGTATTAGCTATCATGTATCAGAAAGCATTCAAAGTTCTGGATTCTTCCAAAATGAACAATATTAATACACTTTCTTTTTTTTTTTTTTTTTTTTGATTTTTTTAAATTTCTGTTATTTCTTTTTTTTTTATTTATTTTTTTTTTAATCTTAAATTTTATTTTTATATTCCCCCATACAATTGCAAACGCCCCATTCTGACCCCAATCCTTCCCCTCCCGCCCCCCACCCCCCAAAAAGTGTCTCTGGTTCATAGTTTTTTGTTGATTTTGATTTTCACTTTCTTATATTCATTTTCCTGGTCCCTTATTTAAGTTTTCTAGATTCCTGCTATGAGTGAGACCATCCGGTATTTTTCTTTTTCTTTTTGGCTTATTTCGCTGAGCATGATCCCTTCCAGCGCCATCCATGTTGCTGCAAATTGCATGTGTTTATCTTTTTTGAATGCTGAGTAATATTCCATGGTATATATGTACCACATCTTCTTGATCCAGTCATCTACTTTTGGGCATTTGGGTTGTTTCCAAAGCTTAGCTATTGTAAACAGTGCTGCTATAAACATAGGGGTGCAGGTGCTCTTTGGAATTGATGTTTCTGTGTCCTTTGGGTAAATACCTAGGAGTGGAATTGCTGGATCATATGGAAGCTCTATGTTTAGTAGGTCCAGAAATCTCCACACAGCTCTCCATAGTGGTTGGACCAGTTTGCACTCCCACCAACAGTGCAGAAGAGTTCCTTTTTCTCCACATCCTCGCCAACATTTGTTGTTGCTAGTTTTTTTAATATGTGCCATTCTCACTGGTGTGAGATGGTATCTCATGGTAGTTTTGATTTGCATTTCCCTGATTGCAAGTGATGTTGAACATTTTTTCATATGTCTGTTGGCCATTTGCATTTCTTCTTCAGAGAAGTTTCTTTTTAGCTCTTCTGCCCATTTTTTGACTGGATTATTTTCTTTGTTGTTGCTGAGTCTCATCAGCTCTTTGCAGATTTTTGTGATCAGTCCTTTATCATTAGTGTTGGGTGCAAAAATGTTCTCCCAGTTGGTGGGGTTTCTCTTTGTTTTTGTTATTGTCTCTTTTGCTGTGCAGAAGCTCTTTAATTTGATGTAGTCCCAGCTGTTTATCTTTGTCTTCACTATCACTGCTTTGGGTGATGTGTCTGTAAAGATGTCTTTGATATGCAAATCCCGTAGTGTTTCGCCTATATTTCCTTCTATGTATTTTATGGTTTCAGGTCTTATGTCTAGTTCTTTAATCCATTTTGAGTTGATTTTTGTGTATGGTGTGAGGTAGTGGTCAAGCTTCATTCTTTTGCATGTAGCGACCCAGTTTTCCCAGCACCATTTATTGAACAAACTTTCTTTGCTCCAATGCATAGTCTTTGCTCCTTTGTCAAAGATTAGTTGACCATAAATCTGTGGGTTTAATACACTTTCTGACCTCACAGAATATATGATCTAATTGAAGAACTAGATATTAAGCAAGTTAAATAAGTATAGTTATGATGAAACTTTCATATGAGGAGTAAGAAAAAACTTGTCTGATGGATGTTACTTCCTGAGGATATTATCCAGGGAAACAGAGAATCAGATAAAGAGCATTCAAGACTGAGGGAACTGCTAATGAAAGGGTCTTACAGCTCAAGGCATCTCGGTGATAATCAGGAGGCAACTGTGCAGGATGCCAGAGTAGTAGAGTGGATCAAGAAGAGATGAGGCTGGAGAAGTAAGGAGTAACCACACTTTATAGGTATTGTTAACATTTTAAAGTTTTCCCTAAGAAAAAAATGTAACGCTTTAGAAGATTCTGAACAGCAACTGTGGAAAATGAACTGGTATAGGACAAAGTTAGATAAAAACAGGCAGAATATAATTAGAATTCCTTTGAGGACCAATTTGAAGGCACATTACTTCAAAAAGTTTTTGGATTTGCATATGCCAGAAAACATGGTAATTGCTACTAAAATAAATGTTGTCTTGAGGGTTTTGGACTTCATATATATTGGTGTTGTAAATCTGTATGAGCATTTTCTTTCAGTTATAAGTCCTCAGGCATGTTGATTTTCTACCTCCACCTAGGACCAAAGTTAATAGTAAACACATTTTTGTTCTTTTTCCTTTTATGATACAAAGGTATTTGATCTCTCATTCAGACTGAGCTTGCAGTCCTTTGGGCTCCTTGTTTAATGCAGAAGTCTCCTATTAAAGTCTCTACTTTTTAAAAGGCCTGAGGCTTTGTTTTGTGTCCACAGTATCCCTGGATGCTCAAAGTCTAAGCTGGTCACCAAGATTAAGTGTAAGTGGGGCTCCAGTTAGCCTAATGCTTTGGCTTCCTGTTTTCACTCTGTTTTGACATTTGAGGGTTTCTTAACTTCTTTACAGTTCAGAGATAGATAAAAAGGGTTCCTTCCCTCCCTCCTTTATACTTTGCTTAATATTTTAAATTGTTTTTTTTTTAATTTCTTTTCTTTTCTTTTTTTTTTTTTAATTTTTTTTTATAGAGGCATGTTTTTATTTATTTATTTGTTTGTTTGTTTGTTTATACATGCACTGGGTACAGTCAGAAGTGAGGGAGGGTGAGAGAATTCACCAGAGCCAGAGCAGGGAGCAGAGCAGGCAGAAGGACCGAGGTACACTGCTGAGGGGAGCAGCGGGCGGCAGGAGAGGTCTGCGCGCCATGTGGGACCCTCCTCCGGTGGCTGGGGATCGAACCGGCGCCGCAGAGGCCGCGGGCAGCTTCGCAACCCAGCACTCAACCACTGCGCCACCGGGGAGGCCCTTAAATTGTTTTTATTGAGAAGTATTTTCATAGTAGGTCACATATAAAACTGCAGGCAAGGTAAATTGATCAATATGACCTTTTTCAGATTTTTAAAAATCATAAGTGAAATGATTTTGTGAAGATACATGGTCTATCTGAAATATTCTACATTTTAGTCAAAACAGTAAAACCATAATCTTTAGACAAGAAGGTAGTAATTGCATACAGGAATACAATTCAAAGAGAAGGTAATGAATAAGAATAATGTACTGGGAGGGGATTAAATGTCTTCTATGAAATAATATATAGTTTCATGTAGATAAGTTAATTTTTTAAAGAATGATCAGTTTGCCAGAAAATGATCTATTTTCTCTAAACCTATTTCAGATGGCGATTTCCAATGACTTCCTTCTATACCCAAAGGAGCATTTAGGAAATGTTTTTTATCAAATCTATTCTTTGTCATTCTTTAGCCT